TTAGTCCAGGAAGACATGACACACAAAGAAACACAGAGACAAACAGGAAAAATACCTAAAAATAAAACAAAACATCCCAAGTGCCACTTGACAACATTTTAAAGGTTAAAAATGCAACAAAACCTCATGTTTTAGGGCACAGGCTGAGAAGGGTCAGGAAGCAACTCCACTTGAGAACAACCTACTCCTCTTCCACCTTCGCCAAAGAATGTGGTGCTGGGGTCGGATAAATCCCACTTAAATACAACCCCAGAGGAATCTCAGATTGATCTTCACCACCCACAAAGGGCCCTGAATGACTAACACAGAGCCAAGGCTGGATCTGGGCTGTGGCCAAGAGGATCCATGTCCCACCTCTGGCATTAACTTCAGACAGACTCATCCGGAGCCGTTCCATAACACACCTGCCTTTGCTCTTAGCCGGAATTCCCAAGTTTTATTACACTCCTGGAGCACTAAACAACATCCCTGTGCTCTGGATGAAAGGCTTTGTCACAACTGTATTTGGCAATTACGAGACCACCTTTAATTTTCAGAATTAAATCAGGAAAATCCTCATCCCTTTTCCTTTATCTCCTTCTACTGAACGGGAAGAACTGGGGTTGCTGCTCTTGGTACAGAAAGTTTTGGCTTCTCCAAAGTAACCCAGAAGACTCCATAACCAGCCTCTTTACAGATATAGGAGTGTTATAGCTACAAAAATTCCATAACATTCCTGAGCCTTCCTGATCCAGTCAGCATTTCATGCTAAATTGCTAAATCAGCAAAATATGAGAGTGCAAATCTAAATTTAGGACTATTAATTCAATTGCTTCAGCAATTCCTTCTCTACTGAAAAGCTGACAATATTTCCACCAAGGCTTCATCCAGCCTGTTCTCTTCAGAAATGGATTCTCATGGAAACATTCTGAAGAGTTTTAGTGATTCTAGAATATTATTAATTAATTATATTTATTAAGTAAATGATTCTTCTTGTTCACCTTGGTTTTTTTGCCTAGTTAATAATATTCTGCTTACACTGAGAAAATCTAGTGAAAACTCCCTATTTTTCACTGAAAAACAACAGAAAAATCAAAACTATGCAGCATGGGACAGGAGAAAATATTAAAATACTTCCAAGTTATCACAGCAGGTGGGGATGAATTAATTAATAATGCTACATTTACGTAATGACTATTCGAAGGTCAAGAAAAGGTCTGGTTTGATGCAGTGTTGAAAATCAAACCACACAAGCATCAGTACCTGGGGTGAAATGAACATTAAATAATATATTTCAGCATGACAGGTAATAGCTGATGATATATTTACAACACTTTCAGTCCCAAAATTTTACTTTCATTAGGAGAAAACAAAAAAAATCTACACAAAAAAAGTGCAGCAACATATTGAACAGTTCACAAGCTTTCTAAATATGCACAGGATTCAAGAGAAACCTTTGCAAGTTTTTGAGTTCATATCAAAAAATATATAAACATGCAAAGGAGGAATTATTGGAATTAGTTTTCCAGGTTTATTATATGGTGACATTTCATAAACTTTAATTAATAGAGTATCTTCTGTATCTTATAAATTCTAATGCATCTGGAAGTAAGTGTACACGAGCTGTTAAAAAGATGTGAGAAAACAGAAAAATAATACTTTAATGCACAGAGGGGACTAGAAATAACTTGTTATTTAACAAGTATTTAAAGGAGAGGTTATAAAGATGATACACTGTGTAAAACCCCAAATCTCACCCCCAACCACAAAGCAATTCCTACTGAAGATGCCAAAGCCAAGTAGCAAAGCCAAGCTCCACCTGGGAGGGTGATAGGTTTTATTGCACTTTATATAACTTTGGTTCTGATGGCAACTTGTCCTCCTGCTCCCTCATCTCTGTATTTTTGGCTTTGAGTAGGAAGGTGCATTTGTCAGGCACCCCAAATAGAAAAATGGGGGTGTCAGTGATCCCTGCTCAGCGGTTCCGGCCCCGGGACCAGGATCTGCATTTGAAGTGCTGCCACCACATGTGTCCTTTGAACCTTGGGCTGCATCCCTTCCAAAAAAAAAAAAAAAAAACTGGAGGAGAGAGTACACACCCCCCAGTAACACAACCCCCAGCCAGGACCTTCTCCTGCACTTCCTTTTATAGGGATGGAATGTATTTTGGGCTTTTTATCCTGCTTTCCCTCTCCAGTCTCTCCCAGCAGCAGGTGCAGAGCTCTCCCAGCCAAGGGCAGTAAATACAATCACAGGAGTAACACAACACACACAAACCCACACTCTGATTAAACTGGCTCCTCACCATCATTCCCAGTAGCAATTCCAAGTCAGGGGTCAGAACACACCATTCCCAGTCCCTTATTAATTTACAAAGTTGGTAAAAGAGCAGGGTCTCATTTACAAAACTCAGGGGCACCAGCTAAGCAAGGAACCTTTTGATGAAAAATAATTCACGGTAGGAAATCCAGCCTTCCCACAATTATCCCTTTTTTTGTAATTGTGGTCCAGAGAAGACCAGCAGGATCTGTGTTCCCCAAGTCCCACACTGCCAGCACATTCCCTCTTACCAAATGAAGAGAGAAAAAGAGAGAAATCAATACAATTTTCCATGCTGGCACTGGGTTTTTCTAATCACCTTTCCAAGAGCAGGAGAGATAAAATCAGTCCTGTCTCAGCTGTCACAGCCCCAGCACTCGGGAGGCACTGATGGGTGGGTTAATTACTCCTATTTTTAGGCTCATCAGTTGATATTTCTCAGCTTTTTTTCAGTCTCCCTCACAAGTTACAATTTCAAGCTCTGAGCAGAAGCAGTGTTTCCAAAAGTGTTTCCAAAAGGTAACTTGTATCCTTGTTCTGCCCGGAAGGATACAAGTTGTCAGCAGGGCCATCCAGAACACCCAACATGCACTGGAGATCCTACATACGCCCAAAAAACCCCAAATCCAACTATAAACAGCCATGCATTGAACCCAACCCATACAGATCCACCTTCTTAAGCAGGACAAGAAAGAGGACAAGTCACCATGAAGAAACTAGTGTTTAATAGGTATTACTTATTAAAAGAGGTGAATTCAAGAGGTGAATCAATCCAAGCTGTGGCTGCCCCATCCCTGGAAGTGTTCAAGGGGGTTTGGAACAACCTGGTATAATAGAAAGTGTCCCTGCCCATGGCAGGGGGTGGAATGGGATGAGCTTTAAGGTCCCTTCCAACCCAAACCATTCAGTGGTTCTGTGAATCTCAGAATGGGTATTAAAAAGGACAAAGATGTTTATATTCTTTTCCGTGACAGTAATTCCTCTCAAGTCTAACGTTCACCTAAACCACTCAGCCCCAAAGGACACTTACTGCCAGACAAACACCAAATTACCTTATGGACACTGAGAAGCTACAACAAAAAAAGCTGTTTATCATTGTGGTTTTCAGCTCCACAGGGTTTTGAAATTAACGTGAGTGCTGATGATAAATGAAGAGCCAGGGAGGGGGCTCAGGAACACTCATTGTACAGCTGGGTCACCTCTGAGGGTCAGGAAGTCCCCAGTGCCGGTCCCGTTATGGCAACACGAGTCCCCCCGGCCCTGGCACTGGGTGGGTGCCACACACAGTGAATTTCTCTCTCAACTCACGGGAACGTGGGGAGACCTCCCTGAACCCCCGAAATCCGTGAGACCGGGACAGCTCCGGCCACCGAAGCTACCTGGACCCCGAGGCTTCCCCCGGGACATCCCCCCGTCAACGGGCGGGGGTGAGGGTGCAGGAGCGGGGGGACCCCCCGGGAACGGGAGACGTGGGAGGTGCAGGAGAAGGGGGATCTCCCCGCGAACGAGCAGGGAGCGGGGACATTCCCACGGGAAAGGGAGGGGTGGGAGTTGGGGGATGCAGGAGCAGGGTGATTCCCTCGGGAACGGGCGGGGTGGGGGGTGCAGG